CGCTTCTTTGGTGCCCGAAGTCGAATGTTATTCACATTTTCACAAAAGATTGTTTCATCAACGTAAGCAAGCATGATTACCTTAAGTTTTCATTTCTGAACTGCATCAAATAATTCCTCCGCACTCAATATAAATACGCAAATTGTAGTCATATGAATTTTTCGTTCACAGCGAATTCACGCAGCAGCGGGATGCATCAATGACATATTTGTTTTCAGCGTCACGAATTGGATAACAAAGATCTGGCAGTTGGGTGGGAATCTATAGATGCACCACTCAATGCCATATCGAACTACTTGAATAATGGTGGATTTGTAAGGGATTTGGCCGGCTGGGGAATTGACATCAAAGGTTCGTTTCAGACATAAGTGATTTCAGAAATGAATTGATCACCGGATGGATCTATTTATAGTTCTTGATTGCCATTAGTCACATCAGTATGCATTTTGCAATTAAGATTAATGAACAATTAGGAATGTATTCAGTGATATTTCATAAGAAAATCATAAATTTCAGGCTTTGATGTAGAGTCAATCAGATCTCTGGGTATCGACATTGACCAGAAAACGGCTCAGTTGCTGGGAATAGAATCACAGTGAGATCATTCATAGTGATTTAACATTTAACATAGAAAGCAAGCATATGGTTTTGCAATGTATTCGATGAGATATGCCGCGTGCACAAATAAAAGTTTTCAAATTATATTGTGCCAAAGAAAACTCAGAGCAGACCCTACGAACTGTATGTTGCAATACCTATGAATCTCAGTTCGACAAATGCAGCAACTCGATGCACATGTGCTGACCAATGCAATACAATGATTGGGCAATATGAAAATGCAGTGATGGGCACGTTATTGAAAAAACGGTAATTGGATTATCGCTGATTCGCTGGATAAAATGTTTGGTCGGATGAACTAATGCGCTATTATAGCCAAAACACTAGCGAATCGCTTTTGCTGAACCATCGGGCAGCAAAATTAGTCCGCTGATCGCTACCGCTATCTCTACTCCCTACTTCGAAAACCTTCCTCAAACCTCACAACTNAAATTAGTCCGCTGATCGCTACCGCTATCTCTACTCCCTACTTCGAAAACCTTCCTCAAACCTCACAACTGCATCGCTCATTTGCACGCTCATATTCTCCAATAATTCGACTGAAAATGGTGATCCTCAAACTGCTAATTTATCGCATACACAGATCAATACGTATACGATGTATACCAGTGGGCGTGAGATGGCCCCAGAGAATCATCAACGCTTCATGGAGTAATAGCCTGACACCATAGATATTTTCTGAAACTAGAGAATCTGGCTAATTCGACTGTACGAAAAACCGACCACGTTACCTTTGCAAACCTAAGAACAGCGAGTTTGAGAAGTGTTTACCCTATTAATGATAATGCATTGTACACAATGACCAAAACAGGTTCAATGTATTGAGATCAGCGTTAATGAGGAAGTGACATCCTTTCACGAAGTTGGGTGATTTTAAAAAAAGTAAGCAAGATCGCTCAACAACAAATATGCATTTCTGAAAGGAGAGAATCTGGGCATTCTAATAATGTGAACTAACTGCCATGTTACGCAGCAAACCTGAGGACACAATTGCTTAGAAGATGGTGACCCTAATGTCACTATAATAATGAATGCATTGATCATTTGTGAAACATTGTATTGAAAAGATTGCCGCCGAGCTGCTTAAAATACGTTCAGAAAGTCGCAAGAAAATTCATATACTGCCGGGCGAGGCAGAGGATACGGTAATAATACAGATGTCAACCAAGAACCCAGGTAAATTCTATAATCTAGACGATAACATGGACGCAAGACAACCCCTTCAG